AAAGAGCAAATAACAGCAACAGCTGAGGTTTACCTTGCAAAGGGAAATGCACAGCCAGAGCCAAGCTAGCGTGAGAGCAACGTGACCTTTAGAAATGCAGTTTTTACATGCTCAATCAGTTTGGTTTAGGGATCATTCATCTTCCTCCCAGACCTTCTTCTTCACAGCTGTAGAGACACTCAGATGGGAGAGCTTTTGCACCATCTTGAGGAAGGAGCTACTTGGTTTGTGTCTCCACATTCTTCTCTGTGCAGGAGGGCTGACTGTGTGAAACCTGATTGCCTGTGCTTTGTGGCACCAGCCCCAGTAACGCTAGGAGAATCGCTGAGAAAATGCCTCCAAAGCACCCTGAACCAGTCCAGCCACATCCAGTCCCAGGGAGCTGGTCCTCCTGAGTCTGAACACACTCCTGGAGAGATGGCTGAAGTCCATTAGGAACTTTCAGTAACCAGAGGGCAACACTTTTATCACAGCGTTAAAGTCTGTTTCCTTCCTGCTCCCACTTTTGAATAATTTGCAGCTGAAAACTCATTTCACTTGGTCTTTCCGACATGAAAGTTGGCTTTTGATCTAGAACTAAGCATGGAGAGCTCTGACCCAAGAGGAATGTACTTATTAAAGCTAGAAACAATAGAAGCAAGGGTGTTAAACTGACTACCAACACCGTGTTTTTAAACTACTGCCTGAGTTTGCTAAGGTTGTGTATAAAGCTTTAACTTATGGATAAATATCAAATCTTTTCTTTATCGGAGCTGTTCCTTTTGTGCAGCTCTTCCCAAAATCAAGAGGTAGGTATTCGAATAGTTTTAATTTATTGATAGCTTTTGAGCCCCTTTGCTCCCCTTGCCAATGGGAATTCTGTAGCTGGCTAAGAAGTGCCTTAGGACACAGGCAGCTAAAGAATGAAACTGCTTCCAGCCCTGCATTGCCTCAGTCACCTTTGAACTCTTTCCAGAAGGCAGGGGTTCCTATATGGAGGGAGATGCTGAAAAGCTTCGAGGGAACAGTTTGAGTACAAATGCTCAGATCATTCCTACCTCATTGAACTCCACTGAGGATTCAGTGATGTGGATGTACAAATTCACTGTGCTCAACTGCTGTTTCATCCTAGAGCCCCAGTCAAGTTAATTTACTACTGGGTTTCCTTCTAGCATTGAAAGGAAACCAGGGGACATGTTCAGCCTTGAGAGATGGACATGAACTGTACCCAGCTTCTTCTAATGCTGCTCTAGTAGTTCTTGTATCTTCAGATGCCCAAAGGCAGGCGATCTGTACTTTTGGTGTCAGCCCATAGAGATACAACTGTGGCAGGCTGCAAACACAGCCCACTATTATTTCATGCATTTCCAGCTGAGAAAAGAAATGAAAGAGCAATCACAGTGATCTCGAGACAGCCACACAGGGCCCAGGGCTATGCAGTGCAGACTTGAGCCAGTCTGCACAAGCTGGCCAAGGAACTTGGATTCTTTTCCCTGTATGGTACATAAAGGCAGGATCTCCACCAGCTGGAAGCAGTCTGGCACAGTGTGTCACAGCCATTCCCTTCTTCCTGCTGGGAATGTGGAACGGCACAGTACACAGTACAGTCCTCAGAGGAATAAGGTTCAGAGAGGTTTTGTGCTGCTCAGTTTTACAGTCTCATGTGAAACTGGTGTCTTGGTGTTAGTCTGGGGGGGGGGGGGGTGTTGGTCTAATGGGGTTTATGTCCTTCACCCATGCTGAAAGCACAGAGAGCCAGGAATATCAGAAACAGATTCCCTGGAACAGCAGGCTCCCTGAAGCTGCAGTCTCCATTCTCCAAATCACATCTGCTGCCCCCCTTATTCCTAATAGTCATGTAGGACATCCTGAACAGTGACCAAGTGTAGGGCAGTGCTGCACAGAAGGAGATAAAATCAAGCTGTCTGACTTGTAAAGTTGCACTGGTTTAGCCTTAGAATTTCAGTGGGAATCATTTTTGGCTGAGTCTTTGGTTTTCTATCTGGTCTTGAGAGAGCTTCCAGTTCCCTGGCTGTGAAGCCTGAACAGTGGCCAGACTCAGAGCCCCAGATATCCAGCTTCTGAAGCTTTTACGTTGAAGACTCATTCTCTGTGTGCATCACTGTGACAAAGCAGTACAATGAAGAACACTGAAAGGAGGAGACAATTGCCTGTGGTGAGGCCAGAACACCAAGGAAAGAAGCCCATCCTGCTTAGCTCAGCTGTGCCCTTCCAAACCACCACCGAGTGACTCTGGGCGCATGATGGCAGCTCTGCTGAATGTACTTTCCCTAAGGAAGCAGGATGAGTGACGTGAGCCCACAAACACAGCACATGGGGCGTGAGAACACTGCGCAGCCAGCTGTGACTCATGGGCTACCCCAAGGAAAGAGGAGCCGCTCTGAAACGGGTTGCGGGGCGTACATGCAGTGACAGCAATGCTCTCTTCAGCTTCATTCCCACCCTGCCTGTTAGCTGTAATAAAGCAATCAAATGTCTTTAACAGATGAATTATGCATTTGGGGACACTGGCCTACTTGCGTTTGCATAGAACTGGGGGTAACATCTTTGAGTTATTCTTTGTTGTTTCGTAAAGGTTTGAAGCCCACCTATGGTAAAGTGCTTACCAGTGACTGGGTGTTTTCAATGTGCAGAATAAGCATTAGATATCAGAAACAGTAACTGAAAAAAGACCTTCCAGTCACAAGGATCCAACAGGGATAAACTTGGAATCTTTTAAGAGAGTCATTGCTGAGACAGAGAAACATATATCTGTGTAAGTGCAGATGACTTTAATGAGGCTGTACGGCTAATAATAGATTCTACTAGTTGCAAAGCTCTAATACAGTTGAAGTACAAATGTTCCTACTTTCTTGTCCAACTGAAGATGCTGTGCTGATGCACCAGCACCACCCAGTAACACTCCAATTACTTCCACGATTATTTTTATAGATGTTCCTCTGGTGAACAGTCTCTTCAAGTGTTTCACCCTTGGGAAGTCTGAACAAGGCTTTGTGTTGAAGACGGAACAAGCCAGCCTGCGGTCTTGCATCATCTCCTCATTGTTGCCATATTTTCTTTCCTATGCACATCAGTAGCGATTTCAAATACTAGTTCAAGTGTCCCAGCTCACATGGGGAAAGCTGCATTGCACATGCAGACTTGGAGGAGTTGGACTGGACACTGATCCCTTAAGGCAGTCTGCTACAGTAAGAGCGTGATCTGATGAACCCAGTCCCAGCGCCTCAGATCTGGGATGCAGCAGAGGCTGATGACTGAATGACTGGGGACTGCATGCTGTCCTGAGCACATGCTGGATCATTTTGGAGACTCTATTCGTTGTCTGACTTAAAACACGCATTCTGCATGAACTTGCCTTTTTTCCAGTGGCGTAGTTACAGACTTGAGCTCAACAAGAGGACCAGAGAGGTTAAATCCTCCTCTCTGTCCTCACGACTCAAAGCAAGCGGTGACTTCCCACATATTCTTACACCGAACAGTTGGAATGCCAAGAGCCTTGTTTGATGCCATAGGCTAGCAATGTGATTTTGGTTGTCAGGAGCCCCTAAACAAAACACTGACATTCTTGCGTTGATCCAAGGTTTCTAGTTCACTTTTTGATTACAAACTGGCCTGGAAAGAATTAACAAGTTCCCTGCTGCCCTGCAGCAAATTCTCCTACAAAATATCTGCAGGTAGCTAGAAACAAATATCTCCCAAGGCATAGGAGCATGAGGAAAAACCTCTTCTGCAGCTAGCAGAAAAGCACAAACAAGTACCTCTGCTGGTGGCTGTATGTAAAGTTAGCAACAGTTATGGCAGTGTCAGGTGAAGGAAAGGGGTTAGCTGAAGGGTTGAATATCTGAAGCCACCCTTTGAGATTACTGTATTCAAATCCTGGATCAAAAAGGGTAAGTCTTTCTTAGAACATTTAAAAACAACAGAAAAAGCAGACTAATACTAGAGTTCCAGTGCTGCATTCACTGGTAATATGGGAGTGCTGGAGCTGACATGTCACAGCTCTAGACTAAAAAATTCCAGCTACAAGGATATAAAGAACATGTGAAAGCTTCTGCAGCCAAGTGTTTGCAATCCATAAACCACAAACTGTATCTGGGCTTGTGCAGCTGAGAAGCACTGTGATTCATCAGTGAGTGCAGCAGCACATGTACATAGAGCACTCTCTATTCAGTGATGGGTTTGGAGCCTGTGTAACTGCATCACACATGAGCCATTGCCATGGTACAACTGGCTGAGCTGTTCTGAGGGACATTGTCATAGTTGTGGTATTGAACTGCAGAGTCCACGACCCAAAGTACTGTATACCTGTAACAAACTGTGAGATGAGGCCAGGGAAGCAAGCACAAAGATTCAGACCTCTATACCTACACCTCAGCCCGTGTAAAGAGCTGACAGGAAAAAAGTCACTATGAAAAAACATGGGAAATGGAGCTGCATTTCACATCTTGCTTCTCAGCTGCAGGGACTCGAGCCTGACAAAGCAGACAGCTCCAGACAAAGCAAACAGACAAAACAAATACCTGGTCAGAACAAAAGTACTGCCAGTAAGCAGTTACCATCGAACTCTAAATCACAGTTTCACTTCTTGGAAGTCATCTGCGAGCTGTCCCCTCAACAGAAGGTTACAGTGCGTCTGTGTATGATGGAATGGTTCTGGCACTAACAACCTGCTGTGAGCCAGCTCTGCTGGGATTATTTCATTTACAATGACTGAGCCCATCTATAGCGTTATCCAAATGAGGACACAGAACTAGAATGAAATTCTTTGGGCCTCAGGTCCAGTCCTCCTATCATGAAAAAGATTGCTCGTTATCACTTAGGTGATGACCTACCGCCTCAGATCCAGTCTGGTTTGAACCCTGCCTGCCTCTGTAGGGCAGCCTGAAGGATAACCTAGGACTAGCTGCATGAACAAGGCTATCACCATTTTCACTGTGATTGTTCATGAATATCACCCATATATAATAATACAAAATTTGACTTATTCTTTTGCTTTTTAGGCTGTCCCCTTTAATATTCAGATGCTCATTCAGCTGGTGATGTGTAAAACAGAAGATAGCAAATATGCAGAGTACAACCAAGTTGTAGTGACTTGACTTCGAATTGCACAAGTAGTGGTAAGTAGCTGAAATCAAAATTTGAACCTATTTTTGTAATGGAAGCCCATGAAGTATACACTGATGGAATAATTCTAATGCCTAAATCTCTCAGTTTCATCATTCTGTCATTTGGTCTGTTCCCATGAGTCACACAGCACAATCAGAATTATAATGAATTTGAAAAGCCAGCAATCATGAGCACTCGGTATTTATAGAACGGAGAAGCGATTACTAGTACTTTCAACGTAACAATTTCAGCTTGCTGGAACTTTTCCATCCAGGACAGTTTTCCATCAGAAAACGTTGATTCAGTGGAAACTTACTGGGCTATTTCTGGTCGATCCTTAATCTCAGCATCTCTCTTCACGCTGCTGTTGAAACGTACCCCACTTAATTGATACTGTGGGTGACTTCTTCCTGCTCATTTTCTCCTTCAGCTCATACCCAGTAAACTGTAGGTCCTTCTCTGGCACTCCAGTGCTGTGCTGGAAACATGCAGGTACAACTTTCTTTTTTAACAGTAGTTCCAAGTACCAAAGTTCTGCTTTTACTCCAAAGAAGCTCACAGATATGAACACATGGTTGCTGCTGCTACATCCCTTCTCAGTTTTCTCCATTTACTGTCAGCTGACATGACCCATGGTGCATAAATTGGATTATCACCACTTACATCACTAGAATATCCCCTCCTACCATTGAGAGGCTCCTCTGCATTCTGGGAATGCCATTATCCATCCTTCCACTTCCAGGGCAACCTCTGTCTGTATTTTGCGTTGCAAAGAGCAACTCCTAAACACGATGAATACTGCTGACTTCTTGTGAATCTGAGCAAGGTCACATCACTCTTCAGACTTCGCTAGCTTCTGTGTCTGCTTAATATTGCAGACAAAACTTCCCTTTTTACTTGTAAAATTACTCATCCTTAATCTTGCTTCAGACTGTCTCAGGCTTTACTTTGTCCTGCTGCTTACTTCTGCTGCAGTGCTAGTTGCTTTTGTCTCTTTATAATCGCATCGTATTGGATGCAATAGCTGCCTCCTGTGCAGCTTCCCTGGGCCTCATTAACTCATGCTGAAGTTTCATATTTCAGATGCCAGTTTTAGGCTTTGGTCATAATCTTCAAAGTAGTTAATGGATCAAGCCTTAGCTACATTAAAGGCTGAATTTTGATCTGTGAACCATCACGACAGCTGCAGTTCCTTGGGGCAATGTAGATTACAAAGCCTAGAAGGAAGTGTGTGGAAGGGAGGAACAAGGCGATCTTCACTGAGAGCAGCAAGTGATGGAAAAAATACTTGGAAGATATTGTACAGACCCAGACCTTTCAAAACTGAATCACTCCAAACACTGATTCCCCCTCTGTCCTGGCACGCAAACCAACCAGCAACACCTCAGCACCATCAGGAAAACAAATGCTGAGTGATTTGGTTTTCTGGAGAGCTACCAGAAAATCTGCTCGAAACTGTGCATTAAATACAAAGCTCTCAAGGAGCCAAGTGCTGGAACATCTCTTCTGCCTTGTCTTCAGTGCTGGTGCTGCTTTCACAGAATGCCCCAGTGCTGAGGTTGTTCAGATGAAGCAGAATGAACAACAATATTCTAACAGAAACAACCACAGATGAGCGGTATCTTCTTCAAGAGGGGCTTTCTGTGAAGCTCAGGATAAATACAATGCAGAGTTTACTTTTGAAGGTAAACCAGACCTTCTCAGTCCTATTCCAAGCTAAATTAGTGTAGTTCAGGCTTAGTGTTCATCCAAACAGTGAAGTCCCACGGGTTAATCTTCCATGGAGGCTTCAACCAACTCAGTTAAACCGGTATAAACACTTCTGTGAAGACTCTTGGTTTAGTTTACGTCAATTCGGACTGTGTTTATGGCAACCCAAAACGAGCTATTCTTATGCTTGACTACAAATGTCAGCCAGCTTCTTGCACCGATTTTTGACGAAACTGATTTAAAATAGGATCTGAACGTAAACCCGGGTAACCTTCCCGTAAAGCGGGCCGTTCCCCAGCGAAGGGGCTCCTGCAGCGCACGGCATGTCACGTCCTCCCTCTTGCGGCCGACGCGGAGATCCGCAGCGGTGGGAACGCGCACGGAAGCTCCGAAAGGGATTAGGCTGCCCTGGCAACGGGGTCAGAAACCGGCTGCTGTTTTGGGGTACAGAAACACGGCTTTATAAAAGAAAATAACAAAAAAACTTGAGGGTTTTCATTTGAAAAACAGAGTGGATAACTATTTTAGAGTAAAGTAACTGCTACGTTATCAGTAAACATTCCTGTTAATGTATTAGTAGTAAGGTACTACCGGCATAGTATCCTAACATAGTACATAAATATCAGTATACTACTACTGCTAGTATAGCTTGTGCTCTGGGAGAGAATTAAAAGCGAAAGTTGGCAAGGATGGAGAAGAGAAGGCTCCTTAAGGGGAGACCATAGAGGAGCTCCAGTGCCTAAAGGGGCTACAGGAAACCTGGAGAGGGGCTTTGGACAAGGGCCTGTAGGGACAGGCCAAGGGGAATGGCTTTAACCTGCCAGAGGGGAGACTGAGATGAGCTCTTAGGCAGAAGCTCTTCCCTGTGAGGGTGCTGAGGCGCTGGCACAGGGTGCCCAGAGAAGCTGTGGCTGCCCCATCCCTGGCAGTGTTCAAGGCCAGGTTGGACACAGGGGCTTGGAGCAAGCTGCTCTAGTGGAAGGGGTCCCTGCCTGTGGAAAGGAATTGGGCCTGGATGAGCTTTATGGTGCCAGATGAGTCCTCTGGTCTCTTGCTCCACCCTGCCCAGGTAAAGCTGTCTCTCACGCTCAGGCACAGCACTTTCCTACTGCACATTGTATTCATTTTGAAGCACAAGCTGAAGGCTGGCATCTCTCCATTTCTTCTCACTACAGATGCAGCAATCCTATCTTGTTAGGATCCATCTTTTCTGTGAGAGCACCAGGACTGAGAGATGTAATAAAGTTCATCTAGAGGCACAGAGGCTCAGCACACAGGAAGGGAAGAGGAAAGCACCATGTAACACTTGGGCAGCAGGGAGGAAGTCCTCTGTGCCCCTAAGTCTGGGCTTAGCATCTCAGGTCATCCACAGAAAAATATCTGGGGAAAAGACAAAGGTGAGGGCACAGGAAGCAGTTCTCAAGGAGAGGATGGGACTAACCTATAACCCCCTCCCTTTGGTATGCCAGTGGCACACACCAGCAACCCATGTACCCTGCCTTACATTCAGTAGTGAGGCTGCTGGTAGCACAGGCAGAACCTGTGTGACACCTGGGGAAGCTGGGAGCTCCTGTGCCACACAGGAGATATCCCTTGGGAAAACATGGGACAACAAGGGCATGAATGAGAGGGGCTACAGTATGAGCTATGCCAACAGGTCAGCAGTTAGCCTTCGTTTGTTTCTTGTGCTGCTAAAATCTAATGTAAATTGGAAGCGAACACTCAGTGACAGTAGCTTCTCCAGTTGCTTGGCTCTCGAAGTGCTGACCAACGAGAGCTGGCCAGTATTAAGGACTTTCAAGGTGATGGATGGTCTTTCAAAGCATCACCAGATGGAGTTGAACAGTGTGCTGCACAGGTCAGGAGCACAACAGTCATCCCCCAGCAGCCCAAGCAGTCAGAGAATTCCCTGTACCAAGCAACTGGGCATTGCATGGGTTAATGCACAGCATAAAGTGCTTCTGGTTTGCAGCAGGGTTGCTGGGATAGCCAGTGCTGAAATGATTATTACTCAAGATTCCTCCCAAGTCTATTTTCAGTTATGTTGTCCCCAGATCTGGGATGTTCTGAACTCTGGGGGGATCTGCAAACTACTTCAGTCTGACAGGGCTGTGCCCATTGTCACGGAGTGCCAGCGCCAGCATCAACACCACCCCACAAGCTCCCAGGGATGGGACAGGGCCAACAGCTCACTGCACAAGACAGGCCCAGGTCTCCTGAGGGTGTTGTGGACTGACTGCTGTCAGGTCCATAGGTAAGAGGCAGATCCAAAGTGAAGCTGGGAGGCCGGTCTGGAGGCCAGGATCAATGGGGTGCACGGCCAGGTCCAGCTGTACTCATCAGTACCCCTGTAGCTTAGCTTGGGCCAGGGCTGGGCTCAAGTGGAGCTCCTGGGCACACGTGCAGGGACCATGTGAGGCTGGTCAAGGCCAGCAAGGCCTGTTTAGTGTCCCCAGGGCCCCAAGACCCAGTGTGAGGAGTGCAGGAGACTTCTGGCAATGCCCTCAAAGAAAATGCATGGAGAAGAAGGAAGAACATGGGGCAGGTAACTGCCTGGGACCCCATGAGTATGGGAAGATGAAGTAGCAAACTTCCCATAGCACGTTTTGATAGAGGCATGGTCAGGAGAGATTGAGTTTGCGCTTGTTACATACATAAGGAGTCAGTTGGGCTGCATTACACAGAGTCAGTATTTGCCTGGTCACCCAGTGGTGATTCAGCCCTGAGGGGAGAGAGGGACACTGAATTCAAACTAACCCTGAGCTCCCTTTGACACAGTTATTCCCATTGGTTGTTAAACTGAAATGTAGGGTGGGAAAGCACATCAAGAGAACAGCTAGGCAAAGGATGAAGCATCTAGTCATACAGGAGGCCACGTAGGTCTTTGATGACCGGTAGTAACTAATTCTTGCAGTTGTTCAAGAACAAGATGGAAAAAAGTCATGTTGCTATTTAGCTTTATGCTGGAGTCGTTCGTCTGGCTTCGTAGCTGGGGCTCCTCCTCTCTCATCTTGGTTATCCCTCTGTGTTCAGGAACAGTGAAGTGACAAGTGCCAGGCAAGGAATGGTAACTGCATGGACATTACCCTGCTGAACAGCAGTGGGATAAGGTATTCACTGACTGGACATAATGAAAACTGGTCAGAACTATTGCAAAGTTCATCGGTTTGCATGCATTAATTCAAGCCACTGACACACACATTTTGGACATCCTGCTCACATGGTTTGCATTAAAGCATTATGAAATCCCAAATTCTAGTGCCAGATGGTTTTGGGTTACTTTGCTTGTGTGAAGGGGTTTAATTTGGGTGCACGGAAAATGTAAAATATTCTGCTAATAGCTTTAGCAGGACTGCACAATCTGCATTTGCTTTATCCATCAACAGTGCTGTCTGCCTTCTGCACATTATATTCCAAGTCATGATAAAACTTCATTCCTGACTTCCCAGGAGAGACTACGCTCTGTGAAGTGCTTAAAGGGGTTGACATGAAAGGAAATATTCCTAAAGACCCACAATGCTGAGAAACCACACGGTGAATAAAAATAGCCCTCTCTTTCCAAGTACATGCCCCCTAAGAATGCGTTGAGCCTGGGCCTGAATGCGAAGTGAGAAAGGAGGGAATGGGTAAAGGTCAAGCATACAGCTGTTGCTCCTGCCAGGAGGCATTTTGCTTGCTTTACTTGGTGAGCTGAATGAGCCTTTTAGCTCCTGTTAACAGGGACGACATATTTCAGATGATCTTGGTGCAACAGATGAGCACCAGTATAAATACGGAGCTGAAATAAGATCTGCTGGAATTCACACATCCTGTTCTGCGTGGCATGGGCACGGCAAAGCAGCCCTTGCACTGAGTGTCACCCCCCTGGACCACTGTCACAGCACGTACCACGGGGCTCCTGCCCTCCCATTAGGCAAATATAGAACAACTTCCCTGAGCCAGTCACACTCCCAAGTGCAAAACGCTGGCCTGGTTAAACCAGCAGCTTTCTAGGATCTAGGACTAAAATAAGCTGGATTGTGTTTTAGGAGAAGCCTTTAAAGTTACTTGTTTAACTGGTGTGGTTTTAGTTTCTTTGAACCTGCTGTAGGTGGGGATGCCAGTGACTCGCTGGGGGACAGCCTTGCTTTCAGTATCCTCTTTGCTTATTTCCAGGAGCAGCACAGGTAAGGCCATGACACATGAACAGTGATCTTGCTCTCAGAGACAGAAAGGGAGAGGCTGGTTTGGGCGGAGGGATTCCCCTGGCTCTGCTCAACACTCCCTGCAGTTTCACTCCCACATTTTCCACAAGTATTGTTTTCCTGCAATGTAAAGAGAGGCATTAAACAGGAAAAAAAACCAAACCCAAACCAGGAAATTCAGGTTTCATTTTGACAAGCGCAGTATTGCCAAGGAGTCGATGTCTTTGCAGCTGGACAACCACTGACTTGCATTACATTTGATCAGTCCCCAGGTTCTCCGGAACAATGACTTGGGACTCATTTTTCTATCAAGGTACCCTTTAAAAAGGAAGTGAAACAAAGCCAAACACAGGAGTTTTGCAAGCTGCCATCGAGACCTGTGAGCTCCATGGGAGGTCTACGCACACCAGTGGTCAGTTACATCAATCTAGAGGCATCATGGCTCTGTGAGCACGGATCTCTCTTACGTGGTCTCAGGTGAGCTCCCTCAGCTGTATTGCTTAGCAATGCAACCGAGAGTAGATGCTGATGTCAGCTCAGCCTGGACTCAGGTGAGGTGGGGAGGAGTAGGAATACTATCAACAAGTGTGTCAGGCACCAAGGAGGTGCTGTGATCCTGCTGAGCTCAGCATCACACCCAGTGCTCAGAAAGGCTGACTGTGATGGATTGAGTCATACCCTTGGAGCTGAGTGTGTGCCACCTGGCTTACACAACTCCTCTCCAAGCTATGTGGTGGGGTAAACTGCAGAGAGGGCTTCTCAGACTTAGTGAGTCAGCAGACTTTAGATATAACGGTAAGATGGAGAAGCACGTGAAGCAAATAGAAAGCTTATCGGTGCCTTTAGATACTGGCAATGCATCTAAATGGGTTTTTTAGGCGCTGTATTAGTAGGTCACACGTGTCGGAGTGTTATACTCTTTAAAACCTTGTTCTTCGGCCTGTGCTGTATCGATGATACACTTTCTGTAAAGACAGAAAATTCCCTGTCTTCCTCTGTCTTCTCTCCCACTGGCTCCCCTATCTATCTCAAGGC